AATGTATTATTAGTTTATACTGGTTTATTATTTGTTGAATGCTTTGAAACTTGGATCTAAGGCAACACAATTCAAAATTACAATCCAATATCGTCCAGGCGATGCAATTTTGTGATTAAACCAGAAACGTGTCAGAACACTTTTAGAAATGAACTGCTTTCCTGCCACAAAGATGTTCTGGCCTGATTATTGCCTAATTGCTTTGCTCCAAAAACCCTCTCTTTGGTGCAAACAAAAAGTCAAGCTCAATATTGTCTATAGTAGGGCCGAACAACGTTAAAGAAATATTAGTGACAAATCGCATGTTGTTTCTTATTTGTTTGTTTTTAAAGCTCCACTGTGTAACTTTTTAGCCCCAAAAATATATATACTAAATTAAAGAATTTTTTATGTCTTTGTTGCACTGAAAAACATAGGAAAACACACATTCCTACACACAAACCTACTTTACCCACGTTTACTAAAACAACACGACAATAGACAAACACCAAACTCAAACAAGCTGATGTCAATGCAAACAATGCGTGAAACCATAGCTTTGCCTACATAATTTCAGGAAGCCATCTAGAAACCACATGGAAAAGGTGTGTGCTCAAAGTGATTCAATGACTACCTACTGAGGGTGACCTCTGGAGTGCGCCCACCTCCATACAGTATTACATAACATCGCATCTATATCATGCAATATTCATGCGCTTTACAAACCTGAGACTAAAATGACAGGTGAAAACACTCACCGCCATCACCAGCTCGAAGGGGTACTTGTACACCCGCACAGGTGACTGGTATTTCTGCACCATGGTGGGGGCAATGCTCACTCCAACAACCTGGGGATCAAAAAATATTAATATTAACAGGGATTATAATACAGTTCTTATTATTTCACCTCTACAATATGGAAGGTAACAATAGACTTAAGTTGTAATTTGATATGCTCTTTGACATTCTCTTTTTAGCAGCTGTATTTTTATGAATTTACTCTATTTAGTACGGTGAATGTTTGTTTTTAAATTTGTTCAAGTATAATTGTGTTGAATAATAATACAAATCTAATGCATTCATATTGTATTATTTAAACAACACAGTATAACTCATTTGAAGTTGTATCTCGATTCTTTCTAGGTTCAGCAAGTGGATCTTTGCAGAAGTGAGAAAGAAGGCTCCAAATATAACACTTTAAACTTGGAGACCTATGTTTGGACTCTATTATACAGTAATATGAGTATTGGCTTGAGGTCACAGAGATAGTATCTGTGTACTAGTAAAATAAATGTCATGAGTCAAAATCTTGGACACATAATCCCTTCTGTTCCCAATGAACTGTGAAGGGATTAGTGAATTTTATTTCTTCCTTACTACAAGTCATTTAACTCACTACAGTACACGCTCTTTTAAACACAGTGTGATGGAAATGGTACAATGGTAGAATTTGTTTTATGCAAATAAACCTAAACCAATTTTGTAATATGAACCTAGTCGTAAATCAGTGCATTAAAAGATGTCTCCTTATAGCTCTTTAAGTGTTACTGCTAAAATTTATTAGACATGGATTCCAGTTTATGTGTATTCTTTCACTGTTGGTCTCTTCAAGCAAATTAATCCATCAAGAGACACAGAAATGAACAAAATATAAAGCTATATGGGTTTTTTCATGGCGATACCGATTCAAATTTCAAGTTCCTACAAACTCAACAATTTTTAAGAGGGCTGTATAGTCATGTTTAGTAAATTTATCTCTTCATATTAAAGTATTAAATTAAAGCACTGCGTCTATGTTCTGGCCTGATATATCGATCTAGCTGTACTTTTATTTGACATTATCCAACCAAACCCTATTCCACCTCTTTTTGTAAACTATTCAGGAGCAGACAAGGTGAGTTGAAGGACTACTCATTCTTGGCAGGATTTCAGTAACACATTGCCTGCCAGCATTACTGTATGACAGATGCATCTGGCCCACAGCCGGGGACTCAGTGTGGATTCAAAGTGTGAGGTTGTGTGCACTGGCCGACTGCATGCTTCATAGACAGCAGGTGTGCATAATAAGAGCATATAGTGGAATGTTATATAGGGATGCCTTATATAGTAAAAGAACAGTGAATTGTTATGGGCTGCAGATGGAAGTCTCTAGAGCAGTGACCCGAGTTCCCACAGATCAATGGATGCAGCATTCCCAACTCATTTATCAAAAGACAGTACTACTGCAGTGACATTTCTCTGCAAACTATTGGGGATACAACTAAACTAGCACATATACTCACATAGTAGGCATATTTTAAGACAGTGGTACACTGGTAATGATATTTTCTCAATGCATCTTTGCATGATTTTCAAGTTAAGCACAATTCTATAACATACAATGATAGATTTGTCCAAAGCCCAAAGCAACCTAAAGTGCTAGTAGTAATAAAATTGTTGATTTGAGTAAACATTTTTAGAAAAGAATCACAAATAACAAATAGGAAAGACTTATATTTTATCCCTCAAAAAATATCAAAAGTGACAATTTTGGTTCATCGTTCTTTTTTCTGAGGAACACCTGAAACTGAACTAAGGTCAACAAACTTTAACACTTAGAAAATGTTATCTGATTATTAAAATGAAAAAAATATTGACATTTATTACTGCCAAATATTGTCCACTCGTAATCCAAATGAAAAGACTATGACTCACAGACTGGATAGAGCTCAAAATGTAGCCTTAAGGGTAAGTTAAAGTAAAGGTTAAGTTTTTGATTGGGGGTCGGTCACCTGCTTGTTTCTATAGATTTGCCATTTCTCTGCCTGGAATGTTCCACAATATGACATTAAACAGCTCTATCTTACATTCATTCAATTACAGGTTTTATGGCACAAAAATATCTAGAAAAACAGTCATTATGACTGTGAGTGGGGTTGCCTCTCCACAGATCTAACCTGTATCTCGGTCTAGTTTGGTCTCAGTGAAGACAGAAATGTTTAATGCAATACTGTGAAAAAAAATCCAGACAAAGCAATAACATCCCAAAGAAAGAGACCTTACATTTGATCGAAGCTAGATGTTGTCTAGGTGGGAACACTGCTACAAGGAGGGAGTAGGCTTTGTGAACCACCTATGATCTACTAATTTAAAACAGGGATCAAGGAGGCAGACTAGAGCGATGGACAGGTCGCCACTATAATTCACTTTTAACAACACGTTTCTAGCACAACCTACACACCTCTACACACAATAATAATTACCGTCATGCTTTAAGATCAGTCTGAAAACTTAAAAGGCGAGTCACAACAACAGAATTAGTTCGGGTTAGCAAGTTATTATGTTTTTAAGACTGTGCAATTACAAAAAATATTATGAGAGCAGCAAGAGTTTACGAGATGTGTGTTATGGTCTGTGCCTTTCTCAATGTTTTGACTGAAGCGAGACAAGATCAAAGAAACAATTGTTTGACTGGAGATACTGATCAAATTGTTTACACATAAGAAGGGGGTAGAAGTGGCTTATATGAGCAGTACTACATGAAAAAATGAATATGTTATGAGTTTTAAAAACGTCTTATGAGGCTTTAGCTGTTACTCAACACGAACGCTTTGCTGAAACGAGTCTACCGCAAGCTAACTTTGCACCATAGTTTATGAGTCAATTAATGTGATCTAGAACTTGCCTTACCTATGAATGAACAGTAACAAAACCGGCCTAATCCTGGGATTTTAGTTGTTGTTGTTTCGTTTTAATTGATCCTTTGTGGGATGTCTTGCCATTCCCTTCTCGCTTTCCAGTTCGCCGGTGGAAGAGCTAGCGCTGGTTAGCTTCGATGCTAACTGGAGCTCCCCATGTCGCCAGAGTTAGCTTCAAAGGCAAGACTCCATCAGAAATCAAACAAGAATAGCATTGTAAGATCTGGCAGCAAGATTTCCGAGCCGGGCTGTTGTTATATGCTTGTTCGTAGCCGGAGTGTTGGTGTAGGAGGACGGTATGTGCTGTAGACCTGCCCGCCTCCCTTGGTCATGCCTCCGTGATTGAAGCTCCTCCTCCCGGGTTAAATCCTGAAGAAGGCTCGCTTGGATTTTTCCACGGGCTCCAGTGGTGCTGGAGCTGCGCAGTGCCGCGGTAGAGACTGGCATAACACCGTCCACATCAGTCTTATCTTCTTTCCTCTGAAGGACAAACGGTACAGTAGTGATAAAAGAGTGAAGCAGGGAGTCTATGTTAATCAAGTACAGCAGTTCAAATGGATAAGAAAAAATGCAACACTACGGTGACCACATTTTCAGAATCAAAAAAATTGGGACTCCCCTGGTTGGTGGTGGTTGGTAATAATAAAATTGTGAAAGGAGTGCGTAAATAAGGAACATTGTTATATTGTTGCACTAGGCCCATTCATGACTAACGTGAGTCACATTTTCTTGTGTTTTGGTCATTTTTAAGTATGCTTTTCTGTATTTTACTCAGTCACAATGTATGCCTCTGTTTATTGTTGGCAGGTATCAATTTGGTCAAAAATAGGGACAGCTGGGACATTTCTTGTATAAAACTGGGACAAATCACTGGTTTTGGATAAATCTGCTGGGACAGGGGACACAGGCTCAAAACCAGGACTGTAAATAGGGACATCTGGTCATCCCATGCAACACAGATCTGTCTGATTTTACGAAAGTACCAGCAGTTTAGTACAATCACATTACAACATTTCGGCTCAGATTTATCTTTTTCAATTAGTCAAACTGTTAACAACAGAAATATTCTAAAGTTCAATTATATTTTATTGTAAACTATTTAGTAATGCACAGCCTAGATGTAAATGTATGGTAGTAGAAGACAGCCAACGCAATGCAAAGATGTTACTACGGGAAAAACCTGATAGTAGTTTCAAGATGACATTCAGTCACAAAACTGTCCTCACAAAACAGCTCACTAAAGTTTTGATGTAGTCCTGGTGTGAATCATGAATGTGAATCATATGAGTTGACTGTCACAGTAAAAACCACCCACTCCATCACCACAGGAGTGAACCTGTTAGGCCTGGGAGTTGTTACCTGTTATGTATGTCTCAACCAAGAAACAGCCTCATAATAACAATATAACCCCGAATCCAATTTTAGTGTGTAGCGATCAGCTTATAAAATATAGCCAGGTCAAAAAAGTAAATAATTTTTTTCTAAGATTTACTGCAGGTGTTTGCCACCACAAAACACCACCAGATCAGGAAGTGGTTTTTAACACTTTGTAACTCACTGCTGTGTTGTCACAACATTTTGGGCCTTGTCATTTCATGAGAGTTACTTTAATATGTATTTTTGTTCTGTGATTGTCATTGTCTACCCTAGATGTGCTACAATAGGCCTGTAGGTGAAAATGAGTTGGTGTAATCCCTCATTCGTCCAGGAGTGGTCTATGGTAGAAAAGGTTTCAGAAGTCATCTGGAAATTGAGACATTTTGACTGCCATCCGGAAGTAATTTTCAGTCTGAATGTACTGGACTGCGGAGCAAGAAATTCTCAGGAAATAGCTACATGGTCATATCTTTTATCACATCATATGCTGTTTTTCCATACTCATACTTATGACAGAATCTCTATGGTTGTTCCCCCAAAATGCGAGTTTTAGCATTAGTAAAATAAAATATGTTATTCACACAAATTTTAAAGTAAACATACCAATCTGTTAAGTGGGCTACAAAGCTAAATCATATTTTGTTTGCACGAGGTCAAACTAAATAGTTGTGACCCATATTTTCTGCAGTTGAACTGAAACACATCCAGCCTGATCTGACCTCAGCTCTGAGCTTGTGAATGGAGCCAATGGGGACCATTAGGAATCAGGTAATCAATGCTGCTGTGGGAATCCAATAGCCTATTTTGTTACTTACTTGTAAAAGGAGCTTTGTAAACAAGCAGTGGTCCATGTCAAAGAAAGAAGTGTAAATGATTAATTACTGTTTTGACTTGTGTCATTATACACAGTTCCTGAGGTCACCATTAGAACTCTGTCTTTTACGCTTTTACATTTTTTAAGTTAACATTTTAACAGCTAATTCAATCTTTGTTGTTGGCCCAGAGGATATAAGGTTACATGATGGTAGGTGATTCACAGTGTTAAAATGAAAAACTTCAATTTACATTTAGGGCCTAATTGTTTATATTTTGCAAATGCTTTGGATTTGCTTACATTTCCCTTTGGGGTTCTAGAATGTTCTGTATGCCACCAAGAAGACAAGGTTACAAATTATTTATCTTCAGGGGTGTACAGACAATTATCTCAAGTCACCACACATAATATATTATTTTGAATTAAATAAAATCAAACCTTCAGCTCTCAACACACGTATTTACTCAACCACATTTTAATCTTTGGTACACCTTTTGTTGTTTTAAATAAATTGGCTTGACTAATCACTGTAGTGTTGTCTCAATACTAAAGAAATGAAATTTTGATTTAAATTAGATTTCGACACTAAGGACGATGTTTGATATTGATTAAAATACCACAATGATAATGAAAAAATATACATTTTCTTGGCCATATAATGTAATTTTCAGCACAAAATAATACTTTGTTGGTGGTGTGCTCTTACACTAGTTCACCCACAACCTATTGCTTTTAAAAATTCCAGCACCTGGCCATGGCCACTATTGTTGTATTAGTTACTACACTTGCTTCCTAATTTTGTAAGGGGCTTAGTGGCGATGGCAGAGGATGATAGCAGTAAGGCGATTGAGTCTTAAAGGCCAGAGCTGCAGTTCACACCAGCATTAACTGTTGACTGACCGCTGTAGCATGTGGGCTATTGTGAACCCATTACAAAGGCATTTATAATCACAGGATGTACCAGCAAATATCACAGTACTGGCTCAAAAGGTCAGAGCTGTTGACACTGTGTACAGTGGCAGGCAGGGCATTGAGTTTAGAAGGATAAAGTAAAATGCAATGTAATGCATAATGGGCCTGACTGTTCAACAATGTGGAACTCTGTGTACTGGGTCAAACACCAAACAAAGAGGGAACTCCCTCTATGATAGCCCCTATGATTGTTAAGTCGTAGATTTGCAGTGAAGTACATTATTTCATTGCAACATTGGTCATTCAACGCCATCTCTAATCATATTTACAGTTCATTCTTTGCGCAGGACACTTCTCCCTTCTTGCTTCCATTGTTTTTGTACTGTTATCAAACAGAACAATACAAATCAGGCATGGATTTTAGGTTTTATAATACCATATGATTAGCCTTCTTGTAATCAGTAATAGCTTGATAGCCAAAATCTTATACTGTTCTGATTAAAGATTAGTTGTTCCCCCTGAATATTTTTAGTACCCTCTACTGGCAATGGCTTCTAATTACAACTACTACATTTTTCATTTTTGTGCTGTAACTCTGCAACCAGGTGGCGCCATTGTAGCCAACGTTAACTCCAGACTGACAAAAATGTGTTTAAATGGTCAACAATAATCTCATACTAAATGTACATGTCAGGGATTAATTTGTTTATTGTCCAATTTTATATCACATTATATATCCAGATTTTAATTAAACTCACGGCTGAAAGTCCTTGTTCTAATATTTTAGCTAAAAGATCAGTAAATGTTGATGATTTTTCTCATAGAAAAGCTGCAGGTGTTTTCCATCAGAAAACAGTACGAGATCAGGAAGTGGTTTTCAGGTCCGGAAGTGTCGCTTTGACAGGAAACTCATAACAGTCAACAGTTCATACACTCTCAGGTAGCATCAGCAAGTAATCAGTATTGTAATCATTATTGTACATTTTGTCAGTGTGAATGTTTTAAATGTGTTAAATGGTATGGAAACTATATATTATTTTTCTTCCCTTTTAAAATGTTTAAATAAAATAACTCTATGCCAAAAAAACAAAAACAAAAAAACAAACAACATACAATTAAATCTATGACAGAAAATGCAAGAACTTAGTAACTGTTCAAGAGGCCGCTCATTTTATTTTACTAAATGTGAAAATCATCTGCATTGACCATTTGTGTTGTCATTGATATTGTGCAAAACATCAGCAGCTTTTAAATGGGAGGGAGAGGAAGTACTTTTAAACATGAGTTGATAAAGGCAGTTTCTAGAAAAGGTGAACTTGTACAATGAGGAAGCAGACAGACAGAGAGAGAGTGAGAGAGGCTGCAGCACAGCTAACCACAGACACAACGGTTTGAGAAGCATTTTGAATGACAGGAAATAAAAACACCAAAGAGGCAAGACTGGCAGAGGTACGGCTAATCTATTGCTCTGAATTTTAAAATTACTTGAAGACTGTTGGAAAGGACGTTCATGAAAAAACTGTGATATTTGACAGCTGGTGGTTTACAATGGGCACTGAGGAGGCCGAATCAGAAGTTACACCAAATCTAACAATGAAGGAGCCTGGACCGGTGGAAAAAGAGACAGAATCTTCTATGGATTCTCCACAAACCCCTGAAAACACAGATCCTCTCGACTCTTATAAATGGCACACTGGGTCTAAAGGAGGATCTGAGGAGTTGAAGGAAGCAGGTGCAGCACCCTCTCCATCTTCTACACTCGATAAACTCACCAAGGCATCCACCAGCAAATGGAAAACTATGCAGAACTGGAGAAAAGCACTGAGCGAGGACCCAGGAGACAAGGTGTCAAGTAACAAAGGAGCAGAAGGATCAAAGGACGCATCCAAATCTCATGGTATGGTAATATCATGGTGTCAGCTTTACAAATATGCTCACAATCACATGTTACTTATGCAAAAATGCTTTATAAGGCTATGATGTGCATTAGTCTGTTTGATGTCCTGTATATTGTAATATTTATTGATTCTCAACTACTTCCACTAAACTTTTTTTTTTTTAGTTATGTTACATGCAAGCATATTTCTAAAAATGCTTTGTTTTAGAATTTACATTGTAGCTGCGACTTTAGTACATTTGAATGCCTTTTTTGTCACGATAACTTACTTGGAAAATAGCAAAGGATCATGGCCAATGTTGTTGTCTCTGCGTTTACTGTGCGGCTGCAATAACCTATCCATTTAGGTGAGGAAACTTGCATAGTAAAAGTGCAGAATAATATTGTGAGACATAAGACCTAACCAAGTCTTCATCAGATCTACTTTTGGCTCAGTTTAGGATCAAATATGTGCACACATTTGTTCATCTGTTCCATAAG